ACAAGGAAACAATAAAGTCTCAGGCACCAAGTGCTCTCCCATGGCTATCAAATAAAGCATAAGGAAAAACAGAGAAGAAGATTCTGATTAAATATGTGTGAACTTAATTAACTTAAATTTATCCCAGAACTCTCTGCCTCACTCCCCTCCCCGGGCCCTACACACTGATCTCCACTTCTTTCCCAAACATTGCTACTGTAAGTACAAAGAGCCAGGGTGACAGAAACCGCCAAGGACGGAAGGAAAGGAGAGGGGACCATAGCAGATGGGGGCCGTCAGCGTGTGGAAGATGGAGAAGCAGAGAGCAGAGTCATCGTGGATGGCAGTTTCTGCTTTCTCAGCACTGCTAGGGGCCCGCAAAGTGAACGTGGGAAGGCATCCAGCTTCAGGCTGATTTGCAACCTCAGAACAGCCCAGAGATGTGAGGAACCCCTAACAGGCAGGGTGCAGGTGGGGTGAGAACCAGAGGGCCCTTGGAATGTTTATGAAAGAGGCAATTAGCTCCTTCCCCACTCCAGAGGCCCAACCTTCAAATAGCCAAGTGATTTCCCTCCCCAAGCCTGGCAGGAGACTGAGGGTTGGCGTTTGAAGAAGCTGACCCACCGAGGCTTTGGATGACAAAGGGGCACCAGGCACAGCTCAGCATTGGGGTGCTGTGCTGAAAATAGGGGTCATAACAGCAGAATGGTCAGAGATCTTTGCTTTCTTCCCTGGCTCAGCTCCCAGAATGCTGCCTGCTGGATAGTCCTCCCTCTGCCAAGTGTCCTTTCTGGGGAACCGTGATGAGCTCGAGAGAACAGATCTATTGACATGTGAGGGCTCCGTCCACGGACACACCTGGTCTGGAATCCCAACTCCCGACTCCCATCAGTTTCTGAGTCTCACCCAAGCCAGACGCACTGCCATCCCGTTGATTGCAACTGACTAGCCCCTTTGGGTTTCTGAGGCTGGACATTGTTACGGGAGCTCAATGGCTCATCTTTCTTCCGTGGAGCACCTGGTGGATTCCAAGTGCTGATCTTGAGGTTAGCAGTCTGACGAGTAACCAGAATGCCACAAGGGCTCTAATGAGGCCCACCAGATGCTTGAAATAAAGCTCTG